AGTTTTAACAGTCGCTTCTTATCTGCATTAATACGAAGTTCTAAATCCTCAATTTCCTTCCTGATATCCTCATTACTCTGGTCAGTTGACTCGTTCGACTCTGAAGCTGAATTTGCTTTTGATTCAATTGCCTTGTGTGACGGAGAACGTGAATCTCGTGAAGTGTCTGTAAGATTTCGTGATGAAGACAGTGACGATCGATGTCGTGATCGTGATCGAGAGTCTCTCTTTGGAGAACGCGATCTAGAGTCGCGTGAAAATGAGGAAGATTCGTGCCGTACCGGCAGCGGCGATATAGATCGTAAATGTGGATCCCTGTCACTTTTTCTCCAGGTTCTAGATTTCGCTCCTCGAGAGACCAGAGCTGTCTTCCCTTTTGATCGAGACTGTGATCGACTCGAAGAACGAGAGTGCGACCTCCGTTTTTCTCGTTTATATTTTTTCTTTATAAAGCCTGAAGAGCTGGATTGTTCATGCAATGAATCTTCCCGAGAACGTCTTTTCCATTTCGAGCGATGTCGTTTTTGGGGGATTGAACCCGACTGTCTCGATCGTGATCGTGATCGTGATTTCTTCCGCCTCTTAAATCTTTCTTTGCTCTGTTCTCGTGAGGGCGAAGCACCCTCCCTAGATCTAGATCGACGATAAGCTTTCCCTGTCTTTCTCGAACAAGAATTTTCACGTCGTGAATGAGCTTCTGAATATCTAGATAAAGACCTCTCACCACGCGGGCTAGTTTTTCTTTTCTCCCTTGATTCTGACCTTGACCTGGACCGATGTCTATTACTACGTCCCAGGCTCCTTTCGCCTTTACCTGCAGATATTTTTGGCGGAGACCGCGATGATGACGGCTTCCGCTTTCTTCTTCCGCGGCAATTTGAGAAATCAATGCTTCTAGACTTGCTATTACTATCAAAAACATCCGGCGAGGCAGTGCCATCACTTAAAATAATGACATCTACCGGGATTTCAGTTATCGACGAATCATCGGAAATGCGATTGCTCGGACCTGGCATACTGGGGTGTCTTTCCGGGCTGTCAGAACGTCTGCTTTTGTTATATTCCAGCGAATCGTTACGCTCATGCCTGCGCTTGTGTTTATGTCTATGTTTATGTCTGTGCTTACTATGCTTTTTTCTCGATTTCCCGCGATTTTCCCCATTGCTTGTCGTCTCAGTGACCGAAATACGTCTCTTCCTTTCGACATTAAAACAAGGGGAACCATTAGAACGTTCATCGCTTTCTAAATTTTCCACTGATACAGTCTGGGAAGAGTTGCTTGATGAGATGGTCACAGTCCCCATTGTACTGGCCTCAAAATTTCCTGCTTGGCCTGGAGATGAATCAGGAGACCAATTGGTGACGTCGATTCGCAACACTGGAGAATCTCTGTTCCAGTCTGTTTCGGATAAGTCAAAGAGAGATACTCCAGACGGGCCTGGTGCTGGCGTTTGCCAACCTACATGACAAGAACAAAGAGAAGACAAAAATGAACCAACGAAAAAAAGGACAAGCAAATGAATAAATTTCAGCAAACATCGACATTCAACGAAAGAACCAGTAACTCGTCACGCAAGTTGCAGCTGCGGAAATAGTTGCACAGGAATTATATTGTATACAAGACTGACACAACGAGAATACATCTCGTGTCTGATACAGTGGAACCTCGATATAATGAACCTCTATATACCGAAGTCCTCGGTATAAGGAAAGATTTTCTTTATCCCAGTAATAGTGAAATATATGAAAAATAGCCTCGGTATAGAGACCATTTTGCCAGTCCGTTGGTCCTTCGTTATATCGAGGTTCCACTACAGTTTTTCTACCCTTTGGGTGACGTACAGTATACGTTACTCTGCTTGAAGTATTCTCCGAGAGAACCCTCTGAATTCATTGTAGCGTTCTGCGTTTCTCGGCAATTTTTTTTGTTGTTGGAAATTTTGTGTACGAGGAAAGAAAGCTTTCGCTGACTAAGACACACAAGCATCCTCATTACTGACGACACTCGTCTTTCGAAGTCGCGCAATTCAAGAAATTATTAAGACACAGAGAAAAAAGTACAGTTATTGATCCAAACCTGCAGAACTACTGTTGAACACTGTGGGCGTGTCTCTAACTTGGTCACGTGACTCGTTAGGCCAGCTATACTGCGCACGCTCATCATAAGCAGTGATATCAAATGGCGAACGAGCAAAGCTTATAAATTCGTGAATAAAATGTTCTGTTTTGTCAAACAGAAAAGGGCGCAGTTGATTACAAAAGTCTTCTGAAGTAAGCTCAACCCTGGGAAAAAAAACAACATAAAAATTACAGTTTACAAAATGCCTCTGATCCTGGGTTTCGTTCACTTTATAACCATATTATACTACTGTTAGTTGAACTGTTTTTAATCGGGTGAAATATTGTAATTATTTGGTCATGTAACCATTGTATTTTTCATGCGATATTTTGAATGGTTTTCTGTTACCTGTAAAATTTCAATCTAGTACCACGGTCTGCCGACCGGCTTTGAAAAGCGGTTCTTTGAAATTAAGAATAATGCAGTAAAAAATTCTAATCTTTGAAGAACTGATTTTAGTTATTTGATTTAAGTTGTCATTTTGACACCGATGTAGTCCCAGGGCTGTCTTCCGACTCAATATGGCGACACAAAAAAAGAAAAAGCCCTTAACCACAGGCAGCCCAGTATCCTGAACAGTCCATGTGCACCCTGTGCTTAACATTATTGGTGTACCCTTCTACATTTTTTGCAGCAGTTTCACATGGAAAGAAACCATTTCAGCATACTTCTGGCTGTCAAGGGGTTTTCCTAAGTCGCTTGCAGTATTTTGGAATTCGTTAAACATATTAAAGGGAACCAACACGTTATTACTCACTTGGTAATGAGAGACAAAATAATCTGAAGAAGAAAATTAACATGACTCTCCTCGTCGTGCAGCAACACTCTCAGATCTCTGTTAAGCCATGGAATCAAACGATGGGAACAAGCAGGGTTGATGCGAAAAAATGCCGGAGCTATGGAATATGTAAACAATTTAATTAGGAAAAATACACCACAAATATGTAATATTTATTTGTAATATTGGAATTGGTGACTGTGATAAATTTGCTTAAATACTATATAGAGTCATGTTGATGAACTATTCTTTCGTAGTTGTTATACTGGTGTTAAATTTCACTTACAAATATCTCTCTGCCGAGGTCGTCCTGTCTGAGTTACTCCTTGCACCCATAGATTGCCACTGTAAATGGTCCTGTGTTTGTTTTATAGTATAAGATCAATATCTTGTTAGCCAAACAAATGAATACAGGTTCATAGGAGCAGTTCTCACTAGTAAATGCTTTTTATGCATCATGAGACTTTGAATAATGTACAAAACAGAGTTAATGGAACAAAAAGGAAAAACCAGGTTGAAGAAATACAGAATTCTGATGACGGTTTGTTCCCTTTTGTTACATGTATCTAAGTCCTGTTGATGAAGTAAGAGCCAAAAGAAGGCAGAATATTTGAGCTAGTACCTAGAGTATATTAAAAAGACATAACAACAAAGAACAGAAGTACACGTATGTACCTTCTCCGTTCCCTAGCTATAACCCCTCTGTTTCTCTGTAATGACAAATGAGCCTGCCGTC